CCAGCTGTATCTCGAACTGCAGGTGACAAGGAGGTTTGGATGATCTTTCCCAGTCTCTGGCCCTCACTCACTTCCATAGCAACGAGTTAGAGACAGCCAACACAAGATCTTTGCAAACTACAAAGAGGGTGAAATGAATACATAGGGGGGAGGGTACCTTTCTTTACTTCACAGTCTTCTCAGTAAGATTTCTCTGGAAGGGAAGTCACTGAGGCTAAAGAAAGGCTAGAAAAAACTGTCAACATTTTCCTTGTGAAAAATGAAAGGACTTCCCGATAGCAGATAGGTATTTGGTTGGCATTGGTGCTCTTAGCCAAGCCCAGTCATGAAGGTAGCAAGCCAGACCAGCTCTTCTCTCAGGGTAGAAATAGATGTTGCTGCTGAGGATTGAGATAACGAAATGGAGAGCCAAACCCTGGAACTGGCTGCTTAGCTCTGGGAGCTCTCAAGGGAAGCATTCAGAGGGACCACCAGCCCCTTTGGACAGTGAAGGACCTCACTGGAGACATCCAGGCCAAAGAAAATCCATTCCCTGCCTCTTCTCTCCAGCCAATGGCTTGTTTCTCACGACCTAACCTCAGCGGGTAAGGAATTCTCATTCATGAATAAGTTAATAGCAAACGGCGTTGGAGACAGCAATTTAGGGTTCTGCTAACAGTTCTTGAGCCTCCTAGGAAAGTGTTCCTTCATGCAACACATGCATGTTCTATGCTTCTGGGCATGCAACGGTGCTCCTGGCCCTTGTCAGGGCCACAACAAAATTTTCATGGGGTATGGAGGTGTCTTCAGTGATAATTAGGTGGGAGGATGTGTGGCTGGAACCCATAAAAGTGGGACTTGCCTGAGGAGAAACTGACAGAATATGTTCCCTCTGGGACTTGGTGCTGGAGGCAACAATTGTTTCTTTTCCAAGAAATTTCAGACAGTTCAGAGACCACCGTGAACTTACAGACGAACTGCTAATAAAGTGGCCTCCAGCAGGGCCGGAGCAAGAAAGGGCAAATGCAGAGGCCATTCACCAGACAGAAATAGAAAAACAAGCCGTACCAGAAGACAAGAAATTGGACTTTAATCTGTTGACCAGAGCTCCAGAGGCAACAGGAAATGGTCCAGAGCTCCGCTAAAGCTCTACAGGAGTGGATGGCGACTCCAGAAGCCAGCCGGGATGACCGAAGTCTGTTTTACTAAACTTATAATGACTCCTCTGAGACCCAGCACTGGACAGAAACTCACAGAACAGCCTGTTGCCTGATGCCACTCCTCACAGGGCAACTTGGATGTGTGTGTGTGTGTGTGTGTGTGTGTGTGTGTGTGTGTGTGTGTGTTTTAATGCAATTTAAAAGCCCTGCTTGTGGCTGGGAAGACGGCTCAGGGATAAGCATGTATACCGCTCTTGCCGAAGACCTGGGCTCAGTTCCTCTTACCCTCATTAGGCAGCTCATGACCACCTGTAAGTCCAGCTCTAGAGGATCCAGGGCCCTCTCTGGACTCCATGGGCACCTGGACTCAGTGCACATACACATAAATGCACACACACACACACACACACAGATACATATACACATACCACAAATATATGTACACACATACAAGAAATATTTTAATGTATTTTAGAGTATTCTAATGTTATAGACTCCCTGAAAAGATAAGTTAGCAATGAAAAGTCCCCAGGTCAGTTGTGAGCTAAATTCTAAATGTTCTCTGGCATTTGTTAGCACCACATCCTCCATGACAAGGTGAATGACCAATGTGGACACCACCCAGAGTCTTCTCAGCTTGCACACATGTAATTACTTCCCCTCAGAGTACTTCTAGATCTCAGTCCACCTACATAACGGAGATGTGGTTTTGTGTAGAGCCAAGGCTTGTGCAGGCAACTCTTGGGATCCTCCAGTCTTGATGAGGTGTTCCGTCCCCACAATCCCCATGGTAACTGTTTGCCTGAGAAGTCCCAGTCCTTGTCACAGCTCAGGAATTATCTGATGATACATGGGATGCTACTACCCTACACTCCTAACCTCTATCTCCCTCCTTTGTCTCTCTCCAAAGTTCCAGTTTTGTTCTGGAAATCCTTGAACCACTCGAACACCTCTTGCTCTAGCTTCCTCTGGAAGCCAGAGATAGCCCATCTGCCATCCCTGCCAATGGGCATCAGGAAAGATCCACTGGTGCCTCTGGAAAGCATTTGCATAGACTTGGGTCCTTGTCTACCTTCCCTCTTTTCTGACACGAAAGGAGCGGGATTGCTTCTGTCCTGACGACATCGTGCATCTATGATGTAACAAGTAGATTCTCTGAGACGCTGGCCCTAGCAAATGCCCACAGCTATTCCCAGCAAGGCTTCTGACTGTGAGGAGAAAAGAGAAGTCTTCCTTTACCTCAGCTCTTTATCCCAGTACAAATTCTGTCACTTTCGTTCTTGTTCTAAGAACTCATTGTGCTGCCTGCAAACTGAGGATAAGGGAATGTCAGGATTACAGAAATACCAAAGAAAACTAAATGATGGAGTTTTTGGCCCCGTAGCCGTTGCTCTTTCCACCACAACAAAGCAGAAGTGGCAACATGCCCTCGGGGGCTTCTGTGTGTATCTGCACTTGCATTTAATCCCAATACTCAGGAGGCAAAGGCAGGTGGGTCTCTGTGAGTTCAAGGCCAGCCTGGTCTACAAGAGCTAGTTCCAGGACATTTAGGACAATTATGTTACATAGAGAAACCCTGTCTCACAAAATCAACAACAACAGCAAAATTATCTTCAGTTCGAATTCCTAAAAGTGAGATACTTTCTTCATGAAGTGTAAAATTAAATTCATTTGTAAAATATTTTAGTGAATTTGAAAATCTTTGCACTTAAGTATATTCTTGCTCAGTTATGAACAGTAAGTAATTCCCTCTGACCGTTAGTCTAGTACCTTTATCACACAGAGGAGGTGGTGTCAGTTTTGAGTGTAGCTGAGTGACAAGCACCTCAGCACGGATAGCCCACCAGTTCCGGTCACCCCTCTGCTTCTGCTTTCCAGTTGTATGTGGCCTGCTCCGAGACAAATAAGGTTTCCTGCTGAGGCTTAACTCAACAGTTGTCTCCCTTCTGGCCTCCACATTGGGTTTAGAAAAAGGAAATTAGGGAACTGGGAGCCGGGAGAGTTGGGTTGAATTATTTATTCAATTTCCAGTCTTTCGATTGGGTCATCCAGTGACTGATACTTCCTTACAAGGCCACAGCTCCGTTATACCACCTTCTCCCCACAGCCACCTACCCAGCAGGGAACCCAGCTGAGATGGTGTAGGGCAGGATGGTGTCCTGAGGCTAAAAGTGCCAAGTCTGCCTTGTGACTCCATTGATGGGAACTGGAGAGAGGTGCGCTGAGGAAAAAGAGCAGCTTGTGGTGGTTTGAATACGAATGTCCCCTAGTAGGTTCCTGTGTTTGAACACTTGTTTCCCAGCTGGTGACCTTAATTTTCAAAGTTGTTGAACCTTTAGGAGGTGGAACCTGGCTTGAGGAAGTGGATCACTGCAAGAGGGCCTCGAAGTTTTATATTTTGGACCCACTTCCCTCCCTCTCTCTGATTCCAAGATGCAAAGAGGCGAGAAGTCCCACCCAGCGGCACCCCCCTGCCACCATGGATCCACCTGCCACTCTGCCTTCCCTTCCATGAGGGACTCCTACAAGTCAAAATAAATCCTTTCCAGGTTTGCTTTTGTCAAGCCTTTGATGATGGAAACAAGGAAAGGAAGGTACACAGTGTCCCCTTCCAGGAACTAGGTGCCTAAGTGTACCAACATTATCCTCCTTTCTCCCATCTCTTGGTGAGGAGCACGCTCAGAAGCCTTGAGGCCAGGCAGCCGGCTGTGCATCTCACAGGAAACAGCTCGGTCACAGTGTGAAGGAGAAAGAGGAGAACAGATCTAAGAGGCCAGAAGGAAGGGAACCATCAAAGGGTGACGACTGCCCAGCGACTGCCCGCACCTCCAGTTTTTGAGGTACCTTCTCACATCTTCTAATCCAGGGGCCAACCTTTGTTCTGTAATGCTGGCAATGGCTACTTCACCAGCAGGCTCCTTCTTAACTTATGCACTGTGGAAAATGGGGTCCGGGAGAGGAGAGATGTGGTCCTTCCTGTTTGCTCTTATCCTTTCGCTGTTGGTTCTAACTCTTGCCAACCTCACCTCAGCCCTCCTACGTCACCCTAGCAGACAGCTGGTTCCAGCAACAGCAGCTGAATCCAGTTTGCTGCTGCCTTAAATGCAGTATTCTAACTCGAGGGGCTATCTTTACTCTGCCTGCCAGTAGACCCCAACAACCACTAGCCAGCATCCAACCCCAAGCTCTGGGATGTCAGAGGAAGTATTTGTCCCACCCGCAGATGCCTGACTATCTGACCCCCAAACATTTGAATGTTATCAGTCTTTGTTCTGCTTCTTGGCTGGCGAGGAAATGGGTTCTTTCTTTAGTTCTCTGTGCTATGGATGCTTTGCATTTTCTTATGAGAACAGAGAGAAGGAGTAAGAATTTCTGAATCACAGAATAGAGAAAAGCCATCCCCATTCAGCCATACTCACCAAATGACCATTAGAATGTGTCTAAAATACTCACGCACGTGCACACACACACACACACACACACACACACACGTACACCTACATACACACACGCACACACACGTGCACGCACAGGTATATACACACAATACACATACACACAGGCATACACACATATACATATACACATATGCACACATGTATATACACACATACAAGCACACACATACACACACACATTCACACATACACAAGCATACACACATACACACACTTGTACACGCACATAGACACAATGCGCACGCACATATACACATGCATACATACACATACACACACATGCACACATGTACACATACATATACACAGCACACGCGCGCACACACACACACACACACACACACACAGTGCTTATGGGCAATTTGCAGAAAACCACGAGATGAACACTAAAAACCACGAGATGAACACTATAACTGGGAGGAAGATGACCTGGGTTTCAGGTGACCTCCATTTTCTGCAGCAGAGATATTTTTTATTTATGTCTCAGCTGAGGAATATGGGAGGGGGGTCCAAAAGATCTCATTTTTGAAAGAGAAAAGAAATAGTTCTTTTTCTTTTGTTTTCTCTTCTTTTTCTTTTCCAGACAGGGTCTCCTGTAGTCCAGTCTGGAACTTGCTATGAAACTGAGAATGACCTTGAGCTTCTGGTCTTCCTGCTGCCACCGCTGAGTCCACCACCACCGCTGGTTTGTATGGCTCTGGTAGTTAAACCCGGGGGTTCTTGTTTATCTATTAAGCAGACTGCTTCCTGGAAATGAAAATTTTCAAATGGTGATAGTCTAATAGCTAAAGGGAGAGGAGCAAGGGTCTCTCTAGGTGATGGTGCACACTTTAATCCCTTTACCTGGGAGGCAGAGGCAGGTGGATGTCTTTGAGCTCAAGATCAGCCTGTTCTACATATTGAGTTCCAAAACGGGAGAGCTTTGTGAGGGGGTCTTGTCTCAAAAACAGCGAACAAACAAACAGACAGAACATCTCTCCTGCCAGAGCTTCAGGATTGTGGTTATGGACTTAGGGCAAGTGTGCCCCGGAACAACAGACACCAGTCTCCGGACAGGCTCCAGGTAACTTCCTTCATCAGGGCTAAGTACAGAACCCCAAAGGTCAGCAAGTGCATGCTCATCCTTGCTGCAGGACACCCACCTAACATCTCAGCCTATCAGTGAAAAGATTCCGTGAAGGCTTAAAGGCATGTTCCCACCGTGGGAGCATGCCCAAATTAGCAGGAGTTACTTCTAGGAGAGAGGGGAAAAAGCTTGAAAGCCTTATGGGTGTGACTTTTGGCATGCAGAGTGTAAGGGAAGGGAATTGAAAAACCCCTGGGCATTTCAAAACCCATAACCAAAACCTAAGAAAGCTTTTTGCTTATTGACAGAAGTTCTTAGAACTTGGACTAAAATAGACCAGGGATATTTGAAACGGAAAAAGGGCTCTGAAGCTCCCCACATTCTTCAAGCGAGGAACACGCAGCGAATACTACTTGAGGGGAAAGGAAATTGAGAAGTGGAAATGGGGGTTGGCATAGTAACGTCAAGGGCCATAGGGAAAGGTGAAGAAGGGAATTGTCCCCAGAGAGCTCGGACCTAGATGAGAAACATCACCGTTGATGCAAAGCAGCAGCCCTTGCTCCTCAGAGTGAATAACAGATACTTTAGTGTATACCCAAGGGGAGCACCCATGGTCCAGGAACATGGCTCTTATTTTTCAACATGGTGCTAGCTGTGTGAGCTTTTACATTCACAGAACAAATGGAAGTCATAATTCAAGGCATTTATCGGACGCCTTGGTAGGAATGCTAGGTTCGGGATGCGATTCTGCCAAAGCTGGGTAAAATGACGCCTGTTTTAGACAATGTCTGTTGAGAGTCTTGGCTTAAGGACTGGTGAAACGCTGGTGGCCTGGCGAGAATATTTCAAAGCTTTAACCCGGTAACTGACAGGATCTGAGGTCAGATATTGAAGACGGATGTCAAATGGCTATTAAGGGGGCCAAAGATAACCTAAGAAAGGAGCGACTTTGAAGCAATACAAAGTAAACCATAAACCATACTCTGGTCTCATCACCGAAGCAAAGCATTCCACTGTTATCACTGGAGAACCTGGAAGCCTTCGAAGATGGGCAGAGGCTGATGCAAAGCTACCACGTGTAGACAGGGGTGTAATTTACCCCTGTCAGGAATACACGCTTATGAGCAACTGAAAAGCGGCGTTGATCCGGCGGCAGTTTTCTGAGCAAAGGAAGCTATTCCCTGATTAGTATCTCTACGCTGCAATTTCACCTTCTGTCAGGTAGATACAAAACATCTCCCTCACAGATTACATGTCTTACTTGGAAAGTTCCATCCAGTGATATTTACTCAGCGCTCCTCACCTAAGCATCGGTTTTGCGAGGCTTGCTCTATCTGCCTGCTAGCCAGTCTACTCAAAACCTACTATTTCCCTTTGGTACCCCCTGTGCTTTGTTGTGCATGGTACCGTAATCAAACGGCTGTGCAAATTTAAGATCTTTGTTCACTCAATCCTTTAAAAGCATCCGTCCACATTGTACTTTTTAGGGAACTATGCACAGGTGATAGCTAGCTAGCTACCATTGTCAGCATAACACACCTGGACTTCAGCTGAGGCATGGCCTCCATCCTGTTGGTCTGTGGGCATGTCTTGGGAGCATTTTCTTGACTGTTAACAGATGTGGAAGGACCCAGTGTGGACAGTACCATTTCTGAGCAGGCATGCTGAGCCCGCCAATGCAAGCCAATGAGTAGCCTTTCTCGGTGGTTTCTGTTTTGGTCTCCTGCCTTGAATTCGTTGGCTTCTTTTGCTGATGGACTCAAACAGTAAAATGGGATAAACCCTTTCTTCGCCAGGTGGCTTTGGGTCACAGTGTTTATCACAGCCATAGAAAACAAACTTGAACGATCTTAGAAGAACCACAATTCTCATCAGAGAAGAGCACTGGCTGCTCTTCCAGAGGACCTGGGTTCAATCCCCAGCACCTACACGGCAGCTTACAACTAGCTGTAACTCCATTTCCGAGGAATCTGATGCCCTAGTCAGGCCTCCTTGGACACTGCATACATGTGGTACGCAGACATATATGCAGGCAAAATGCTCATTCACCAAAATGCAACACATGAATGCAGCTGGAGAGCTGGCTCAGCGGTTACAGATCACAGTGCAGTAAACCAGGGAAGACTACACAAGTGTAAAGCTCGGGTGATGTGTTTTCACACTGTTTTTCAGGAACTTGGTGTGTAGATAACAAAACACAATGAAAGACTTGCAAGGCCAGATAGACGTTCCTAGTTTCCTGGCAAGGAAATATCACATGGGTTTGTACACTAGATATCTTGTGAGGGTATCATGTACCCCACACACTAGTATGGGTCTCTTGGGATGACTGGATGAACACGGAACAGATCTGAAAGCCCTGCTCTTGTTGGCTCCTTAGTTCAGGAGAATAATAGAAATTCCATGGGGAAGAAATAATATAGATAATTGTTTCATTATAGCTGCTGCGTCTACCACAAAGGACTTGCTTTTTTTCTGGCCTTATTCCAATTTCATATTAGAGATATACTAACTTGCCTGTTCTTTAGGCAGTTTAAGCCATGATTCTAAATTTTTCTCCCCTTTTTGTATATTTATGCCAGTGTCTCATCTGCTTGAGCCTGGCTGGCTCTAAAAACTCTTTTAACAAATAAAATCAACCAAGTGATGTTTTGTGACTCCTGAGTTTAGACACATTGATCATCTCTTTTTATTCACAAATTATCCTAAACTTCCTGGATGACAACAACCAGGGTTTATTATTCATGATTTCTATGGGTCCGTAATTTGGGATTCGCATAGCTAGGTAGTCTCGGGGTCCCTCTTAAAGTTTTGGTCAAGATATCAGCTAGGGCTGGCCTCCCTGGAAGGCTTGATGGGCTGGAAGACTCGCTTCCCAGCAGTTAACTCAGCTCACACACTTCTGGCGACGTCTTCAGTTCCTGTCTGGCTCCTGACCAGAGGACTCTGTTCCGTGCCACATGAGTCTCTCAATAGTGCCACTAGGGGTCACAGCAGCTGATTTCCTCCACGGCAAGTGACTTGAGAGCAACAGAAAGAGTAAAGCACATATGCTAATCTTAGGAACCAGATGCCAGCACTACATGTGATTTGATTGTTTAGACATGAGTCACTAAGAATCATCCATCTTTGAAAGATAATTAATTCAAAGATAATTAAGCTCCACCAACGGAAGGAAAGATGATCGGAGTATCTGTGAGCATATAGAATACTGCCACAGCAGGTGTGAAATATGGTGCAGCCTCACGGCAGCTTGTCCATTGGTGGTAAAATATAAAATACTGGAAATGGGTTAATTAAGATATAAGAGCTAGCTAAGAATATGCTTAAGCTATTGGCCAAAGAGTATTGCAAATAATATAGTTTCTGTGTTTTTATTTTGGGAGTCTGGGCAGTCAGAAATACGCAAGAGGCCTCCCTACAACATCAAACCATGAGCCAAATTAAACATTTCCTGTTTAGTTTCTTTCTCTCGGGCATTTTGCCATAAAGACAGAAAGCCAGCTAAAGCAGGAGCTTCAAGATTGCAGGGCAAGAACGTGTACACAGAGAGGAAGGCAGCCCTCAAATGACCTCTGACACCCTGACAAAGGACAAGGGTGCTATGACCATCCCACGACCCCCAAAGGAGCAAATGAATCATCAAGAGAACGTGAAATGCTAACTGAATGGCCATGCTGAATTAGAAAAACTAAAACTACAACTGGATTTTTATTTATTTTAGTTGTGAGCCATCTCATCAGCCCAGATTTTTATTTATTAATAAAAATAAATTGCTACTAGCTGACTATATGTAGAGAAAAGTTTTCACTAATAATGGGAAAAATCACACAGGCCACATTTTCTAAACCATGTAAAATGTAGAATTTCTGTACACAAAATAATGAAAACTAAAATAAAGACTAAGTAAGAATCCTGAGGCAAGTATTGAACAATAGGAGCTGATACCCATGTGTGTCTATAAGAAAGGAATGGTCTAATCTATTCAACACATAAGAAAATGTCATGCACAATTAGTAATAGACAATTTATGTGCAGAAAGTAACAAAAGTTAGAAAACAAAAGTTTGATAGAAACAGAATAAATGTTAGTTACTGAAGGCTACTATTTTTCACACATCAAGATGTAACATATATTTACTTTTATAAACGTATTTTGGCAGGGACTGCCACACGCTTGCTGGAACGTGTACGTTACAACCTTTCAAAGTTACTTAACATGGAAAGTGACCGCGGCTAGGTTGGCTGTGGCTTTTCCTTTTCCTAACACACACACAAAGCCGTCCTGCAGGACAACTCCATGGAGTGTGCTGGTTGCTCGTGGGCGTTCCCCGGAGAACGCTGGCCTCTTTGAACCTCTCAAGATGCTCAAGGGATGCTGGTTAAGTTGCACTAGAATTTGAGATTGCTGCGTGGCAAATAATGATTATAATTTAGATTCAGTAATGTCTCTTTGAAAATGAAAGTGGTAGAGTGATTTATGATTCAGACTCTTAAGAGAAATAATCTTTGGATGAGAGGGCACGACCACATCCACCTCACAGGCACACTTAGGTCCCATTAAAGAGGAACACACTGTCGGGTTCAGAAATCGCTTGCTGCCCTGGTGGTGTGAGTGCTGGCGTTGGGAGGATTCCTGCAGTAGGGGTGCAGCCGCAAAGCCTGCTTCTCCTGCTTCATCCATCTGCAGCCTTTGTCTCGTTCCAAAAGCCGCTATCCCATTGTCAAGCATTTGTTACTGCAGCAGGCAGACCTGTGACACCCGTTTTCTGTTGCAGTTCCGTTTCAAGTTGTTATAACAGAATACGTGAGGCTATAAGGTATAAACTATACAGATTTGGCTAATGGTTCCCGAAGACTGGAAGTCCACGAGAATGATAGGGCATGCCTTTCATGCTGTGTCTTCCCATGGTGGAATACAAAGAGCAAGAAAGGCCCTGCTCTCTCTGTTCCCGGAACCGTGTAACCCTGTGAAAATGGCCTTAATCCATTCGGGAGGGCAGTGCTTACATCCTAACAAAGGCTATTGACATTCGATGTGAGTTTTGGAGTGACCATTACGATCACAGCATTTTCCATTATAATAAAAGGAGACAGAGAAGAAGTAGCTGGATGGGAAAAAAAGGAAAGGCAGAAACTCATCTTCCTCATAAAGTCGTCATGAATCAAAGAAAGAAGAGGAATGGGAAGGACAAAGCCTGGAGTTTTACTGACAAGCGAGAAGAGAAGCAAAGGAAAATAGTTATTATTTCTATATATAAGCATATGAATGTTTTTTAATTCATCATGAAAGATCTAAGATGAGATACAAGAAAATAAAAGAGGGAAAAGAATTTGAATTCAGGTCAGCAATACAGAGAATGGTGCTGTTTTTCTGATCGCTGACTATGGCTGTCAAATGCCTCACCCGTGTATGCCACTAGGTGGCAGTCACGCAGCGAGAACGGCTGACGCTCTAGCGGCGGATTAGTTAGCGGACTCTTCCGGGTGCTCGGTCCACTCACCGTGAAAGACTCCAGTTTCTCCATTCCACTTGAATGCATTTTAATAGTCAAGGCAATTTGTCAGTGCCCATTATAATCGCTCAAAATTACAGCCCAAAGCAATGGCTGTTGTAGGCGTCCCTGACGCGCGGCTTTCCTCCCATTGTTTTGAATCTCGCACCTTTATTTACTTTTTTTTTTCTTTCTCCTTAGGAACTTGGCACTACTTCTGTCTTGGAAATTTCATTCCAGACAAATATTTCTTACCCAACTTGTGTATGAAACAATTGGCCAGCTGGGGTTTGGGGAGGGGGTTGGGGGTAGTGATAGAGGTGGGGATGAGAGAAGGGTTGGGGATTGAAGTAGAGGTGCAGTAGGAGTGGGGGTAGCATAGGGATGAGGTAGGAGTGGGGAAGGGGTAGGAATGGGATGGAGCAGGGGTAGGAGTGGGGTAAACAAAGGGATGGGGGTGGGGTAGGCAAAGGGATGGGGTGGGGGTAGGCATAGTGAGAGGGGTAGGTGTGTGGGTCTAGGGATGGGGTGGAGTGGAGAGGTGTAGTGATGGGATAGGGTAGGGGTGGGGGCAGAGGAATATCTTGTTTGCTAATAGTTTCCTTCCTGTGCAAGATGAACATTGAACAAACCAGGACCGATCCCAGGGATCTAGAGGGCACTAGGTTTCCATAGCTGTTCCTGAGAGGCATTCTTCATTTGGTCTGATATGCCTGTAAGGCTGACTTTCTCTGTTCAGCAAGAAAATAAGAAGTGCCCATTTGACCACTTTATGAAAGGAATTCTTATATATGTATGCACTGTATCTTCCAACTAACCAAATAATCTTCGACTTTCATGGTCGTATGTTTCCTGAGTGGCTTGTGTTTATGTTTCCTACTAAGAAAGACCATGTAGGGGAGACTCATCTAGATGGTTCCAGCTCTTTGGGTGAGCTCATCTTCAGTCCCTGGGGTCTCTCATGTAATTTTCCTCAGGATCAGCTGCCCTGCTAGGGAGGGACTTATAAAGCTATGAGGTGCTTGCTTAGGGAGCTGAGTGTTTGGAGAAATATTCTGGGTCCATAGGAGACCTTATTGTGTGCACCGGTAACGAGGCCAATGAACATAACGATGATCCTGCGTGTCCCTTAGCCTGAAGACCCAAGGAAGATGCTTCTCCACAGATGTCTGTGATACTGGTCATAACCCATTTTCACACTGTGCTGTCCCAACTTGCCATGCTTACCAACTAAACAAACCGTTTTAGCTCTCATGCAATACTGAAAGACTCGGCTTTCATATTAAAGCATCCTGAAACGAATAATGACCCCAAATAATGACACACAAAGTTGTCCCAAGGTTATAGATAAGCACTGATAATTTACAAACATATTGATTAGAGACATGCTACAGCTGACTCCTGAGTACCTCTGAAGTGACAGCAAACTCAATTCTTGACAGAGATGTCTTTGCCTAAAATCTTTGTCTGCGGAGCAGCCTGTTGTTGTATTTCCATGGGAAAGCATTAGGAATTGATCATTTATAGGTGGGCCCTCTTGATCCACCAAACATTCACCTTGACTAGAACTATTCCATACAGGGGTCTTTTACCTACCCATCATAGTTAGCGACTTATTCAGTCCTTCGCTCTAATGCTCTTTCTTCTTGATCGGGAACTTATTTAATACTTTATCCTCTTTCTATGCTTGGTCTTGAATCCCAGTTAATATAAGCAAACAAATCATCTAATTTCAAACTAATGGGAATTCATATTAAGTATACAATCGCCTTGTCACAGACATTAAAATCTGTAGACACGCATGCCCTTACATAACATCATGTCATATTTGTATGTAACTTATGTACATCTTCCCACATACTCTAATCATCTCTAGGCTGTCACATGAATATAAACTAAATTTGGGTAGTTTTCAAATAATACATATGCATATATGCATATAAGATAATTTGGTTTTTAAAAATTTAAAACTTATAATATATATATTAATGTATCTTTTGAAAGACACGAAGTGGAGGGCCATGCATCCATATGTTGACAGGAATCTCCCAAGACTTAGAATTACTTCTCTTGTTGATCTTTCTTCCTTTCTTTTTTTGTCTGCCTCCCAATTTTTCAACAATAATCTAGTGCTCAGTTTATAGCCATAGAGAATCACAGTGCATGACTTTGTAGATGGGAATAGTAAAGCATTATATTCTAAGAAAGGGGAGGTGCTGTTGGTCTTAGAACTTGCAGCTGGAATGACCCTCGCCTGACCTTTTCACCTAGCAGACACTAGCGTGATCAGTGTCACCAAAATATTAGTTTCTCACCTGAAACAGAGCAGGGGATGCTTGACAAATCCTGTCAGACACGGAGCAATCAAATGAGACTATCGGCACACACTTACTGGTCAGCGGCACCTCCTGTTTCCGGGAATTCCTAGGCGTGGGCATTGAGAGCCTTCCTGGACAGCGACTCAGAGGCTCTGGCGTCCACTTCTGAAGAGTTTGCTAACGTCAGGACTGGAAAAGTCCCAGATTTGCTTCCAACAGTCAAGAGTCAAGGCGTCGGATATCCTGACCATGAAACGCCACAGCACAGATAAAATATGGCACGTACAGTTAAATCCATGCTGCAGATAAAGATACCTGGCAAACGATTCTTGGTGTGTGTCCCAAACATGACCCAGGAGTCACTTAAACTAAATGCTTACTCGCTGTTCCTTTAAAGGTCAAATTTAACGGAGCTTTCTGACTGTACTTTCAATTGTTGAATATGGGGAAACTGAGAACCTCTGCCGTCCCTCTCTGATTGGATGGCAGGTTGGCTTTACTTATTAAATACAGCGCCGTAGTGACCATTTAAATTTTATAAATACATGCACAGGCCCATTCTGATGAGGTGGTCGCTCTAAGTAAGCCTGGCAGGTCATAAAGGAGGGGAGGCTGACCCAGGGGCTTGGGTGGGGCTGGCTGTGGGAGAGCCATCCTCCAGCTTTCTCTCAGGATACTGAGCAGGGAAGAGCTCCAAGGATGACTGACAGGGCTACACCCTGACCAGTAGTTGGCCTCCTTGTTGTACAAAGAAGGCAGTTGTAGCAGCCCGTGAGCTCACTACCCTGCCAAACTGGAGCTGTTGTTCATCGGTGTGTGAAACCGTCTGGGGGCGAAAGAATTGAGCAATGAGAATGCAACACCACACGGGGTCAAGCTCGGGCCGTGGCCTTGCTTCCCAGAGACAAGGCATCTCCTGTCCCTGAATGGTGGAAGAATTGATGTAAGGCAGTCTGGGACTGGGCGTCATCTGTCGCTGCAGGTGAAGTAAACAACCGGTCAACTGGCAGAGTTTGAAGAATCTGACCCAGCTCCTCCCCACAACCAGGAAACTCTCCAAATCCCCATGCTTGCCTCATACCCAGGGGAAACGGGGACATTTGAACTAGATTCTTCTAAACAACTAGGTACAGAAAGGATTCCTCACCTGACGTTTTTTTGTATAGCTGTCAGTCAAGAAAGGACAGGGTCCTTCTTTTCTAGGAAGGCCCATAGTGGTGAATCAGGAGTCTTGGTGGTAGGACTATGTACTGGCTGATTTTACATGTCAACTTGGTACCAGCTAGAGTCATCAGAGAGGAAGTGGCCTCAGTTGAGGAAATGCCTCCATGAGATCCAACTGTAAGGCATTTTCTCAATTAGCCTTCAATGGGCGATGCCATCCCTGGGCTGGTCATCTAGGGCTCTATAAGAAATCAGGCTAAGCAAAGCAGGGGAAGCAAGCCCATAAGCAGCTCTCCTCCAAGGCTTCTGCATCAGCTCCTACCCTCAGGATCCGGCTCTGTTTGAATTCCTGTCCTGGCTTCCTTCAGTGATGAACAGCAACATGGGAGTGTAAGTCAAATAAACTCTTTTCTCCCCAACCTGCTTTTTGTTCAATTGTGTGTTCCAGCACAGCAATGGAAGCCCTAAGTAAGACAGGCTCCATTATAGATTCCCTGATTCCTAAGGCAGGCGGTGGGTCCTGATGGCGGCTGAGCTTCCATCCATCCCATGGAGCTCATGAGTGTGATGCAGGATTAGAATTTAGGGAAGGGAAGGATTTCATGACCGCTTAGAGAGGCATGGCTCAGTACAGGACGGTAGTGTATGCTTTAGGATGGGACCTAAGGTCCCAAGGGATGTGCTGAGGTCGTCCAGGGACAGCAAGGAGCAGTGGGACAGGCGAGGGTCCAGCATCTGAGTCCTATCACTGATGTTCTTCAGCGCACTCCTGGCAAGGCCCAGTTCTTAAAGATAGGGCTAGATGCACATATGTGATAAATGTACAGTCAGCAGCATTTTTTTTCTCTTCTCTTTCTCCAGGCCCAACGAGGCTTGAAGAACCAGAGTACACATTATAAACACTTATAAACTTGGCATTTTAACAGTGGCACTGTAACAACATACCTAATGCTAACACTATACTTTTAATAAATAAAGTTAATTGAGTCCACAGGTCTGAAGACACTGAAGTTCGGTGTCAAACTCTGCTTAGCTCTGGTGACATCCTGTTCGGAGCATGCGCACAGGAAATCACCTCGGGAGACATAAAGCAAGGGACCCGGAAAGGACAGGGCTCATCTAGTAGCCTATTCCTGAGAAAGCTCATTCACTCCCATCACACCTGACTTCTCCCAAGACCCAGCATGCTACATTCATGAGGGTGGTACCCGCGTGACCTAAGCACCTTCCACCAGGCTTCACCTCTCCCACCTCCACCATCTCGTCAGAGCCACACAGGAGACGGCGCTTCCAGTACGCGAACTTTTGGAACACAAACCAGATCTGAACCGCGGCAGTCACCCTATTTCCTTAATTGGTAACGAGCCCAAGAAGTGTCACAAAAGTTGAAATTTCTGGGGTACAAAAATACGGACAGCTCTTTCTCTTCTCCAGCAGAGTAGGAGGAAATGTGTTTGCTTCCCAGCACCCACATGGCAGCTCACAGCCATCTCTAACTCCAGTTCTGGGGAGATCTGATGCCCTCTTCTGTCCTCCACTGGTACTGCATGCATATGTCTCACAAGCACTCAGACATAGTAACACAGGCACACACGAAATAAAAGACTCCTCATAGCCTTATCTTTAGCTACAGTGCAGAAGCAGACGCTGTTCTGGTGTGTGCTCCCCTCCTTCTTCATCTCCATCCAACCATCTTGGCTTGAATCACCTTCAGAGAAGCAAGGAGAGGTATTAGGGCTTGAATTACATCATTCTCAAATTCCCTCATACCTCAGAATGTGACCTCAGTTGGCTATAGGCAGCTGTAGATTATTGAGTTAAGATGAAGTCATTAGTGCGGCTCTTAATCAAATACATCTGTATAACTGAATCTTTATAAAAGTTGGAGTTAGACACGGAGAGCGACACAGAGGGAAACGAGCCTGTGAAAGCGAAGGCAAGAATCGGGGTAACACATGTTCAGGAGAGGGAACACCAGTGGATTCCAGAAAGACACTAGAAGGCAGCCCTCACACCTCAGGCCCACAGACTTGAACACAACAGATTTCTTTTCTTTCAGCCTCCTGGTGCATTGTACTTTGTTATAGTAGCCCAGGAATCAAACACATACAGCCCTGATCAAAGTGATCTTGTCTTTGTTTACAGCTCACAGGGGCAGAAAGAACAAATCTGTGGAGGGGTGGAGAGACCAAACAGAGGAGAGAAGCGGGTGTGGGTGTCTCGAAGCAACCTCGAAACTCTAGGCCTCTAACACTGTTGGGCCAGAGCCCAGAGCTGAAGAAGAATTTCCAGAAGTGAAGAAGGGTGTGGGGCTGCCAAGGACGAGTGCTTTGGACCAAGCCCTCCATCAGCCCTGGCTGGCTCTAACTTCCCCGGAGTCCGGGGACTTTCTTTGCCGTGTTCCCCTTGCTTCTCTTAGATGCAGGACACGCTTTTGGTGTCTCTAGCACCTCAGATATGCAACCCAGTCCTATTCCGTTTCTAGTTTAAAGGCTGCTAGCTTCGGTTTCATGTTTTGCTGACCTCTAAATTCTGGCCCAGTCCTGGTTTTGCTGTTAGCACTCCAGTGTTGACACTGAGACCTCATGGAGACCTTTGCCCTAAATTCTTTATCTTTGAACATGTGTGTGTTTGCAGTGTGTGTGTGTGTGTGTGTGTGTGTGTGTACAAACATTTACAGGTAGCAAGGCCCAAATAAGCCCTCAGTGGTCCTCCATGGCTCTTCACTTTCCTGAGGCAGGAGATCTCGCTGAACCTGGAAGTCTCTATTTCTAACTAGTCTAGCCAGCTTGCTCCAAAGATCCTTACTTTCTGTCTCCCAAACACTTGGACTTTATGTGAATTCTGAGCATCTGAATCCCAAGCATTGTTCACTAAGCCATCTCCTGCAGCCCCAGCCTTACCCTAATGTAACCAGCGACGACAGTACAGGATGTTAGGGGCTGTTTGGGAATCATGGAAGAGAGCCGAATAAATAGTTTGTAGAAATATTACTTCGTTCAAATCAAAATAAGGGGAACAGCTATTCATACATTGAGTTTCCTAGGTTATAACCTCCTTAAATACCATATGCTCCTGGGAGACAACTGTTAAAGCAGATATCATTGGGGTGAGGGTGTTTGTTTGGTTTGTTTTTTTAGCATCTTCATGTTACAGCTAGAGAAACTGAGGCTCACAGAGTTTACAAAACAATCTAAATCACACAGTCACGAGGAAGACTCTCTGGTTTTCATTTATGTGTTTCATTATTTGGTGTGGTAGTTTTGAACATCAAAACTAGAGCCTAGTATCTGCTAGGCAAGCATCCCCCCACCCCCACCCATGCCTGTTCCACCAGCCCAGGCCTCTGCTTTCAAACACAAGTTGTTTGTACCATTCAAGGCTCTCCCTACAGTTCGGCAGACAGGAGTATGCAGAGCCTGGGCCAAAACGACGTAGGCAGAGACAGACCAAAACAGTCACTGACTTGGCTCTTCTCTCTTGTCAAGTACAAACTGGCCCAATACCACACACTAAGAACAAAAACACCTTGCGTTTATATAACACTTCACGATGGCTGGCGTTCTTGTAAGCATTTTCAAGCGATTCTCACAAATAATCCTATGTGAGAGACAGGCTGACTATGCTAACCTTGGCTTCACAAATGAAACCACCAGACAAAGTTCTGCTCAATGTCTGCCATGAGGTCACAGATCTGGGGTGTTGAAAAGTGGAACCCGGATCCAGTGTTTCCTATCAAGTCCAACCTTCCTACTTCTGGGAAGTAGGACTAGACCAGCGATGGCAAATACTTGGCACAATACAGTCCTATATTTTCCCCCACATCCAGGGCAGACATTACTAGTTCACCATGGCCCAGTCCTATATTTTCCCCCACATCCAGGGCAGACATTACTAGTTCACCATGGCCCAGCTGACATTGGCCTAGGTGCCTCAGCATAGATCCCCAGGCAGT